TTTACACTTGAAAACATCAAATATTTTAGATAACTTATCATGATTAAAACCTCACTTAATACAAAATTCAAAACTAAAATATTCAAAATTTTTATCTAAGACTCTGCATATCTTATCTTGAATTTTCTTTAATTAAAATTCAAAAGTGTCAGAGAAACTAAAAATTCAGTTACGTGGACTTTTTGTATTGTTATCTAAAAAATTTATGTGGTTGACAAGAACTTATCCCCTTCCCTCATCATCCATAAGGATCTTTATGAATGCGATTTCACATGAGAAACTAATGACCTCATTTATAAAATATCAATTGTAAATCTGGAAAAATTTCTATTTGTATAAAGCAAATTAATGTAATTATTTTTATATTTACTATGNATAACAAGATTCAGAATGCTAATAATTTAATATTTTAGATGATGATGTTAAAATTTATTTATTGTATTTTTTAAAAATAAAAGTTAATTTAGATCATAAGTAGTTAATCTGTGGAAATTCATGGTATGTTCTATGTAATAATAATTTAATCAAAAGGTTTGAATCTGCAATTGTAAAAATGTTGAAAATTAAGAACAAAATGTGTAATGGAAGAAAATTAAAGAATTTTTATGAAATGTTAGAATATACAGGTCATTTCAAAAATCTTAACTAGAAACTGCACTTTACTATAATGGGGCTTTGGAGTATTTAGGGCAGTGATTGTCAACACTTGTTCCACAAATTTGCCAAGTGTTCCAAGAAAAAAATTTTTACAGTGTTTTTATTGCAAATTTATTCTAGCCTACTACATTATATTACTATATTCATAGACAATTCCATGTTTAACTTTTTATTCAATACAATAAAGTTCATTACTTCATCACTTTATTGTTTCATGAGAATAGTATGATCTTTTGAATAAATTGATGGTAATGTTCTGTGTAATAACAAGTATATGAATACTATTCCATAAGCTCAAATGGTTAAGAACCACTGATTTAAAATATATAAGCCAGCATAATTCATATAACTTGTACCCTTTGCATAATTAATATAGACTCATCCTTGTTACTGTGCATCATAGCAGCTTAGTCAAGATTTATGAAATGTATTGCATATAACAAATAATTAAAAAAAAAGAAAGGTATTCAACATTTTTTTTGAGTAAATTTTTTAAAACTTTTACATATTTTATAAATAACCTGTAGAAAAATAATTCAATAAGTAATTATAATTAGAGAAGGTAATGAAATTGGAATATACCAAAATTGATTAACTTGTAAATAGAACATTAGAAAAAAAACATACAGAAGTAAATAATCCTTCATTGATGATTTCATCTGTAAAGACTAAATCCTTATCTGCTGCCTGGAGACTGTTTTACGACAAACAGAATAAGAATTCTCAAACTAAGGGCCCACAATATATAATAGCATATGAAAATACTATCAGAATCATTGAGTCACAATGAAAACCATCCCATATGTAAGCAGTTAGAAAATACATGGTCACAGAAACTAATAGGTTTCTGTGACCATCATTTTTAAAATTTTAAAACCTATAGAAGACAATTATTCACATGAGATAACATTCCAATTTAGAACTTTTGGCAGACCTTTAGTCAGCCAAAAACATTTATCATAAAAGAAAAACATTGCTGGAAAAATGCTCAAAGATGTGCTTTTTATGTGACTGATGCCTTCAAATCAAAATTTGAGACGTGTGAAGTCATGAATATTGTTTGAATATATAAATACATTGCTGCAAAAAGATTGGCAAACTTTAAAGCCAAGCTGCAATAGTAATTAAATTGTGCACAAGAAATGATAGTAAAAAAATTAATTCATTACAATATAACAGCACAAGAATGTATCATTGAAGAGCAATTTCATCACAAATGTATTAGTAAGTTTTATTAAAGTTACCTCTGACATTGGTCAGTTTGCATTAATCAGCAGACTAGTTTGCTGCTTTTTGATTTGAATATTTATTTCTTAAAGCCTAGTTAATTTTAATAATTAGCAGGAGATTTAAAATTATTTAAAGTTTAATATTAAAAAAACAAAAACAGGAAAGCATATATTACTTACATTAATTTGTCTCCTAGATGAACATAAGGCATTTTAATTGGATTTGCTATATCATTAACGTTAAGATCTTGGGGATAGATTTTTTCTCGAATAAGACGAGCTGCGCATGTCAGTGCATTTGGAATGTTTCGGAATACCGGGATTCCTTTTCTTTCTACAAGATCTTGAAGAAATCTTTGACCTTGTTTCAGATCTTTTAATTCTCTAAATGTAAAAGTTGAGATTTAAATTTAAAACTTGGAAACTTTGTTTTTTTTGTTTATTATATATTTATAAAAATAGTAAAACTTACTTTTCAGTGAGACGTTCTCCCATTACTTTTATTTCATTTCCTTCAAATTCGTGAATTACTAATATTAATTTTCGATCTGTTCCTATTAAATTTCATACATTTTAGCAAGAAATGATAGTTTAGAATGAATAGTTAATATATAAAATTTTTGCATTAAAAAAAATTGACTCAAATTTTAATACAGTGGGTGATCAGTTAATGAAAAAATTGGATAACAAACACTTTCACAAAAGATTTTTATGTTCGGATAACTGAATACCTCACAGAAAAAACACAAGAAGAAGAGACATAAAATTGGTCTTTCCTTGTCTTCAGGCAACAATTCAAAACCTTTTGGAGTGCGGGAGACATCGACATCGGCACTCAACCTGGTATATACTGATCGGATAATATTCCTCCTAACTAAGAAACTCTCCCTTGTACAGTCAACCCCTCTATAACACTGTTGATAATTCCATTTTATATAAATTTCATGTTGTACGAGTAATTTAGATTTTACAAATATGTGTGTCGGGCTGTGAATGGCTCACGCATTTGTAAAATCTAAGTGACTCGTACAACATGGAATTCATATAAAACGGAATTTTATATGAATTCCATATAAATTATATTATATGAAATTATATGAATTATAGGAAAGACTGTAATTCCAGCCTTTTATTCTTCTGACAGAAACAATTTTTTAATAGTATTTGCAAGACTGCCGGGTGGGCATTCGTTAAGTTTTGTGTCAGTTTTTATTTTCGAAAGATGAGAGTATAATAGCAAAGGTAGAGAGTGGGCAGACGATGTCTGATGTTGCTGGGTAGTATGGCGTAAACAGGTCTATAGTAGGCTGCAGTTCAATCTTATCTAAGAAAGATACTGTATAATCAAGAAGACTCAAGCAGCTAACAAAAATCACATCTGAGAAATAAAGAACATTGAAGAGCTCATAATGGAACCTGAAACTGATCTTATGACAAGAATGCCATGAATTCTTGAATGAAGAACACCAAGAAACGCGGCGAGATATGTTTTCTTCTGAAAAAGAGGATTAATGCCGACATCTGCTTATTAAAGATGTTTTGAAGAAGTGGGAGGATGTCAGAATAATGGTCTTAAAATAGCATCCAAATCAGAGTGAGCTTAATAGGCTTGAATATCTCTACAATTACAATGCTATTAATTACTTCTGAAAAATCTTGAAGAAGAGAGGAAAGCAATCAGCATTAGACAGATTCTTTAACCTCCATAAATGGAAAAACACGACTAATAAAAATGCAAGACTGCGTATATGTATTTTTATTATTAAATATAAATAAACATAGTAATAAAGTATATTTTTTATTTTTTGGAGTCTCCAGAACAAATTAATCAAATTTCCATAAAAACCTGTTAAATCAATAATCAGTTAAAAAACAATTTTGATAGCGAACAAAGTCTTGGAATGGATTATGTTTGTTAACCAATCACCCACTGTTATTGCGTTCCAAACATATATATACACACTTTAATAACAATTTCAAAGAAAATAAAGATAGATGTTATTAATGATCAAAGTATGTATACATATTTCATTTGTATACAAACACACAAACAATAGTTACTTAAATAAATAATAAATGTATATAAGAAGATAACATTTTCAATTGTTAGACCAAACACTATTGAAATATTTTGTTTTCAGAACAAAAGTAGAGTATTATTCAACTTATTTGTATATTTTAAAGATTTATCAGTTGTTTCAATTTTCTCATAGACTTATAGTGCAAAGACATATCTTTTCTTAAATAAAAATACAGGTCAACTATCAGTAATCTGGTTCCAGCACTAATTTCAGCTAGCGTAATTTCAAATTTCCTGCGTCACTGCACTAGCCCATTGCTACTGTTTGGGGATGCTCAACATTGCTAAATATACAATAATTTGACATGATTTTCATTCAATGTTTGCTTATTAACCAACTTGTACTGATTTACAGTGAATTTTAAAAGTAGGATAAGATGGTTAACTGTTCTAACCTAACCATCTTATCCTACTGTATTCTAAACTAACCATCAGTAATCTGGCAAAATCATTTATGCAGCATCATTGCGGTGAGGTGTAGGGTGATGGATTAGTGAATATCAATTTGTATTTTATTTAAGAAAAAGTGAAACTGTGAATTTTTTTAACTCTAGAAGTCTTTTCAATTAATTAATACAACTAATATAAATTTCATATGAAAGATAAATGATGTTGATTCAGCAAAGTTATTTGAAACATTTCAATTTTCCATGTGCAGATTTTTAAGCAATTTTTGTTGTCTGTGAAAAATGAATTATAATGCTGATAAATTTTAAACACACACAAAATAATAGAACATTGTTTTATCCTTATAAAAATATTTAATAAATTCTACACTTAAAAGATATCATCACTTCAGACAAATTTATTATAATTATATTAACTTTAATAGTAGTTAAACTTCAATAAAATGTATATGATAACATAAAATATTGTTCTAAATTTCTTCTTAATCTAGAAATTTTTATTGTTTTATAACTTTTGAAAATTTATTAAATTAAACATTTATTCCTAAAATTTACCTGCAATATGGGCTGCCTCAATCATGGATGCAACAGACCTTGTTTGATTATCAATTACAAAGAACATGATTTCTGCATTCTATCAAATAAAATTATAAATATTAAAATTATATTTTTAGATGTATTAATAATAAATAAATAATATTAAGTGTATAGATAAATAGGCAAATTTTTTTATTTACTAAGATAAATTTTTGTCAAAAGAAATTCTTAATATCCTCTTATTAAAAAATATTTCACAAAAGCTACAGTAGATGTTCATTAATCTGATGACTATAAGACCAGAGTAGTGACAGATTATCGAACATGTCAGAATACCAGATATAAAAGTTTGCAAAAATACGAAAACAAGATATATCTGAATATTAAAGGTATTGCTGTACATTTTGTAATAGTTTATGATTCACATTAATGATTAGACTGGAAGTTTTGTTTAGAGATGAGGTGTGTTGCCTCGAACTCAGATCAGCCTGTCAATTCTATTCACTGACTTTGCTGAATGAATGATGAGCTGAAGAGCGACTTCAAAACAGCTCATGAGAAACTGAAGAGCAACTCAAACAATTGGTCTTACTATGGAAAGAATCTCTAGAATCATGCATGGCAGATGCTGCCATGCATGTATTCTAGACAGAAGACCAAATTGAAATAAACTGACAGAAGACTTGAAATAAACTGATTCCAAGTCTGATCCTGAATAATTTTTATGCAAACTTATTCTGTGATTGTGGCATAAACAGACATTAGGCACAGACATTCAACTCACCACAAACAAGATAGATACTGTAACCAAGTGATTCATATTTCTCAATCATACGGTGCTGAATTCCATGGTCAACTCCCAACATGTAGCAACACACACAGACACATACTCCATCTTTTTGCCTTGATCTTTAGTACATCATGTCAAAACAAATTCTGATTCACAAAATGCTAGCATACTGAATTATTATTAGACAATTCTGAATTATCAGCTACTTTTTAGAGGGTATTACCAGATATGTATTGTTGAGTGTAGGTTAACTATGGTACAGTAAAAATTTATTAGACTTGTAGTTGTGTTTAAAAAATAATATGAAAAATGTTAACTTATAGCATTTTAGTATGTTAAAAATATGTTATAAAATGCTTAAAAATAGGCTTTTGGGAACTTTTAATGTGCATATTAATCATAACCACACATTATTCTGAATTTATGTGCATATAAAAAAGATAATCTAATGAATAAGAATAAATGTATTAATATACTTAAAATATTACTCATAATAAAATCGATATTAATATGAATCTTTACAAGTGTTGAACACTAGAACGTGTTTTTAAAACAATCACATGGCTTATTCTCCACCTTTTATTTAGTTGAAGTTCAACTAAATATTACAACACAGTTTTCACAACAAACGAAAAATTAATATGAATTATGAAGATTAATTAACTTAAATATTGAAAATAAAAAAAATTGAAAGTTATTTTTGTTTACTGGAATTAAGAATAGTTTAATTTAAATAAAAATTTTCTCCAGTGAGCAATACAAATTTTTCTTCAGAATATGCTTAAATTTGGAATAAAAATATACAGCTATTTACCAAAAATATTTCATAGCTTATAAGTTAATGGCTATCATCAAGAACAAACACAATACTCCAGTGTGTTTGTTTGTTCATATTGATGAGTGTTAGCCCAAAAGCATAGAATGTTTTCATAAATTTCTGTACATCCTGTACTCAAAATAAAGCATCTTTGTGTTTGTTAAGTTTGATAATTTTTTATAATTCAATTTCTTTCAAATCATTCTATTTTTTCTTTCAATTTTTAAAATCAACTCAATCTAAAGAATGTGGATTCCATAAATTTATAATACAGCATTATATTAAGAAAAATATTACTATTGTCATTTTCTTATATTCATAACAAATGCATTAATAGAAACTATAAATTATTTCTCCCAAAAAAATTAAATTACTAATATAAATATATAATGTTTCCATATAAAGTACATTTTTTCAAATCATTTAATTTTACGAAATGAATATACAAAGAACCGACAAAATGAAACAGTTTATGAAAAACAAATAAAACTATAATAAAAAAAAATCGTGTTTTCAAATAATTTATTAATCCATCTCTACTATTCATCTATTGGGAACAGTTTATTAAAAAACAGTNTATAATTATATTTATTTTAATTATTTATAAAGTAGTTTCTATATATCTTTAAAAATACAACAAAGAAACTAACAAAAAAGAAACAGTGCATATTATATTATTTCTATTTTTTAACATGACTTTTCTCAATTTTACTTATCATAACAAGATTCAGAATGCTAATAATTTAATATTTTAGATGATGATGTTAAAATTTATTTATTGTATTTTTTAAAAATAAAAGTTAATTTAGATCATAAGTAGTTAATCTGTGGAAATTCATGGTATGTTCTATGTAATAATAATTTAATCAAAAGGTTTGAATCTGCAATTGTAAAAATGTTGAAAATTAAGAACAAAATGTGTAATGGAAGAAAATTAAAGAATTTTTATGAAATGTTAGAATATACAGGTCATTTCAAAAATCTTAACTAGAAACTGCACTTTACTATAATGGGGCTTTGGAGTATTTAGGGCAGTGATTGTCAACACTTGTTCCACAAATTTGCCAAGTGTTCCAAGAAAAAAATTTTTACAGTGTTTTTATTGCAAATTTATTCTAGCCTACTACATTATATTACTATATTCATAGACAATTCCATGTTTAACTTTTTATTCAATACAATAAAGTTCATTACTTCATCACTTTATTGTTTCATGAGAATAGTATGATCTTTTGAATAAATTGATGGTAATGTTCTGTGTAATAACAAGTATATGAATACTATTCCATAAGCTCAAATGGTTAAGAACCACTGATTTAAAATATATAAGCCAGCATAATTCATATAACTTGTACCCTTTGCATAATTAATATAGACTCATCCTTGTTACTGTGCATCATAGCAGCTTAGTCAAGATTTATGAAATGTATTGCATATAACAAATAATTAAAAAAAAAGAAAGGTATTCAACATTTTTTTTGAGTAAATTTTTTAAAACTTTTACATATTTTATAAATAACCTGTAGAAAAATAATTCAATAACACTTACAGGATTATAATAAGTAATTCCTATTTTTTTTAACATTGGAATTGCAATATCTATCCTCCATGTTGTTGGGTTACACGAGCCTCCAAGAAATACTGAAAGAAAATGAATAAAATATAATGAATAAATTATGTCTCAAACAATTCTAAATTAGTTGTTATTAAATATTTTAAAGAATTACCTTCATATTTTGATGGTTCTGTAAAATAAAAATGAAAATTATTTTTATATTATGTATTAAAATTAATTGATTTAATAATAATAAAAAAAACTAGTGATATAATTTATTTATAGAATATATAAAAATAAACATCAATATCAGATTTTAACTGTAAAGAACATTGTCTGCATAAGATAAGATAAACTACAAAAATACAGTAAAAACAACTAAACTTTTATATAGTATTTTGCTTCAGTTTCAACATTGTAAATGATCAAAATATATATTAGCAACATGATGTTCAATAATATTTAGATGTAATTCAAAAAATATTTTTGTTAAAATTATAAAACATTAAATTTTGAAAATAATAATAACACATTTTTAATCTGAAATTGTTCAAATAGTCTAACTGTTTACAACAAAATGTTATAAAATAAGCAAAAAATCTTTTAGAACTGCAAATATATAAAGAAAATATAATGCAATAGCAATTTTTGCAACTTGAAAGTCATATTATGAAAATGACTGACTGTATGTTTTTTCTATAAATGATGAAATTATTTGTTTGAAAAACATTTTTATTTAGACAGATGAAAAAATATTTGTTGTAATGACTACGGATTTTAAATATTACATTGTAAATGTGTAAGATTACATAAAGAAATTTCAAACATTTATTACGTTATCATATACTTTCATTATACATTATTGCATAGAGTTAAAATGTTAAATAATCATTTAAATTAATTGTAGAAATGTAACTATNAATATTAAATATGTTTAAATTTAATCTTTGATAATCTGATTAACTATAATTTTTAAAAATTGTGATATGTAATAATTTTACTAAAATTAAGTTGACAGCATTTTCAAAACTAAAATCTATATATGAATTTGTAGTTGGTGATATTTTATTGCACAAGGCTATCAAGTTTTTATATATAATGAAACAAATTATATACAACCCTAACATTATATTTTGTCAATTATAAACAATCATCATTTATATTGGCCATTAATTAATTAATGTTAAAGGGCATCTTAATAAATTAAATTGTCAAAATTCATCTATGTTCATGATTACAGTAATTAAAAATACAAATAAATATCTAAAAATGTAAACTTTATATCATATCTAGAAAGATAATAAACAAATGTAAATAACTAAATCCCATTTCTCAAATTCAAGAAAATAATGTTTTAAAAGATTATTTTGCAATCATGTAATAGTTATAGATTTAAAATTAAGCCAAAATAAAAATATAGCAAAAAGGAATTTACCAAAATAAATTTATAAAACAAAACAAAAGATTTTTTTTTAATTTGCAAATATATAATATAGAAAAATATAATGTATTGCTTATATATTTATATATAAAATATGTGATTGTTGTTGTTATAGCAACATAAAAATGTTTATAAAAAAATTCAAATAGAAAAAAATGTAGTGTGTTCTTTTTTCTGGTTGTTGTTTGAATTGATTTAAGGAAAAGGAACAAATTTATTTTGTAAATCATTTCTCATCTAAAGCAAAGAAACAGTTTTAAAAAATTTTAAAGTATTTGAGTGTGTCTATTGATATTATTGTAAATACACATGAGGCATGTCAAACTGTATCTTATCCATATTTCCTTTATTCCAAAATTATTTCAGTTTAATTCAAGTACTCCAAAAGTAGTCTTATCAATCTTATAAACTTCAAGAACTTTTCAACATTTTGTTGAAATTATAATTCCATTGGCTAATAGCTCCCATTATGTCAATTTGACATATTTGGTTTATTAATTAGTCAATGTTAGCATTGTCAAGCTTTTAAAGATTTCATTGAATACTGAAAATTATGCAAAAGAGTATAAAATGTGCTTTGCTATACATGAGACATTAGAGAGGTTGAGGCGCACGTTTTAAACGTGTAAACATGTACGTGTGACGTTCAGTGCCGCTTTCCTGTAAGCCTAAAAGTTTGACGATGGTGTTTGGAATGTCGAGCGTGATTCCACCGACTATCCAAACACCATTGTCAAACTTTTAGGCTTACGGGAAAGCGGCGCCGAACGTCACACTTACACGTTTACACGTTTAAAACGTGCGCCTCAACCTCTCTATTATTCCAAAGTATATAGTGACAAACAAACAAATATACATATATGGTTCTGAAATGAAAACTTTATACTTATGTATATATAAATGAATTGTGTCACTGATATAAAAAGATATAACGTTATTTTAGAATACTGTAATTGTTTCTTATTAATTCAATTTCCATATTAGCACTGTCATTTATGACTAAACCAAAATATATTTCTTCCCATAAAACCGAGTCATAATCATTTAGCCACTGTGAATAACTGTTCCTACTCTTCTTCCTTTTTAATTATGGTATTTAACAAAAATTACACAATAGCCATCAAAACAGATAAATACTTTGTACAAGCAAATCAGCAATAGTAACCAAAAAGATATTTTTTTTGTTTTTTTTTTTTTTTGCATTTCTTTTTTCACAAATTTCTTTCAAAAATTTAATTTTTGGAATCTATCCATTGTTTAACTAATTCTTTATTATTTATAAATTTTGTTCTCTGTACTCAATCAGTTCATAAATATCCAGGATTTATTAACCATACCAGTAAAGTCATTCTTTATCTTTAACGTAACGAATTTCAGTAAGTAGACAATCAGTTTTGATTTAATAATTAAAAATAGGCTTTTGGGAACTTTTAATGTGCATATTAATCATAACCACACATTATTCTGAATTTATGTGCATATAAAAAAGATAATCTAATGAATAAGAATAAATGTATTAATATACTTAAAATATTACTCATAATAAAATCGATATTAATATGAATCTTTACAAGTGTTGAACACTAGAACGTGTTTTTAAAACAATCACATGGCTTATTCTCCACCTTTTATTTAGTTGAAGTTCAACTAAATATTACAACACAGTTTTCACAACAAACGAAAAATTAATATGAATTATGAAGATTAATTAACTTAAATATTGAAAATAAAAAAAATTGAAAGTTATTTTTGTTTACTGGAATTAAGAATAGTTTAATTTAAATAAAAATTTTCTCCAGTGAGCAATACAAATTTTTCTTCAGAATATGCTTAAATTTGGAATAAAAATATACAGCTATTTACCAAAAATATTTCATAGCTTATAAGTTAATGGCTATCATCAAGAACAAACACAATACTCCAGTGTGTTTGTTTGTTCATATTGATGAGTGTTAGCCCAAAAGCATAGAATGTTTTCATAAATTTCTGTACATCCTGTACTCAAAATAAAGCATCTTTGTGTTTGTTAAGTTTGATAATTTTTTATAATTCAATTTCTTTCAAATCATTCTATTTTTTCTTTCAATTTTTAAAATCAACTCAATCTAAAGAATGTGGATTCCATAAATTTATAATACAGCATTATATTAAGAAAAATATTACTATTGTCATTTTCTTATATTCATAACAAATGCATTAATAGAAACTATAAATTATTTCTCCCAAAAAAATTAAATTACTAATATAAATATATAATGTTTCCATATAAAGTACATTTTTTCAAATCATTTAATTTTACGAAATGAATATACAAAGAACCGACAAAATGAAACAGTTTATGAAAAACAAATAAAACTATAATAAAAAAAAATCGTGTTTTCAAATAATTTATTAATCCATCTCTACTATTCATCTATTGGGAACAGTTTATTAAAAAACAGTATTAATAAAGTATTTCCTAGAACCAGCAATTATTAACTACCCTAAAACTTGTTATTTTTGGATTCTACAATTTTAAATCTTACATAACAAACAGTTATAAATTTAGTCAACTAATGCTATAATTATTTCTGAAAAATTTTTCAATGTATAATATTAAAAGATGTAAAAATCTGATTGTATAAAAATATATGTATAATTAAATTTTTATAATAATCATGTTTATTAATTGTGTAATAAATTAAGTTATCCAAAATTGAACATCATTTGAATTTTAAATGTCGGATCATTTATCATATTTTCATTATTTTTGTTTGAATGTAAAAAATTGTGATAAAAATTGTAAAGTCATTTACTTTGCATTGGTAAAGAACTTCTTCTTCTCGAATGCAGTCTTTGTCTATCTTTAGGACATTTGGATAATGGAACTGGACGTGGAATCCTAAATTTAAAAATCAAATTTCCTCAATTTTAAAAAATTTTAAAAACTAATTTAAAATTCAAATTAAAATAAAATAAGACATTGGAAAATTTTATTTAATCTTTTATAACCAGAAGTGGTTTCATTTTCAGGATTTTCTTTAAGTTTATAGAAAAAATAATATTCTGAAATACTTTATAATCCAAATAAATCATAAACACAAAAAATAATACTTAAGAGATTATTAAGAATCAGTAATTTATTCAAAGTAAAGTAAAAAAATTCATAACCTTTATCATCACAGCTTCATATTGCAATTCTGTTTGGGATCTGAAGCTGAGATGATAAAGATCTTGAAAACACTTTATCCAAATTGGTTATTGACTCCTCAAAACTCTCAAGTATTGTTTTTTTGATTTATGAAAAATATTAATTCTGAATTTTTTAAAAAACCAAACATGACAAAAAACATGTATCATAATAAAGTATAAATTATAATTACAACTATAAAACTAATAAAACCTATATAATATAATATGACATACAATTAATTCCAACACTATATGTAAAATGAAGATAATAGTTTACTCAATTGGTGAGCGGGACCAGTTTTATGTGGGACACTTGTATATGTGCAAATAAAGTAAATATAGAATATATATACTTTTATTAGATGTTGAAATTATTTATTTTAATACAAAACAAATAATTTATTGGTGTTATTACTACGTAAAATACCTAAATTTTGTATATAAAGCAACAAGATTCTTTATTGGGCAAGAATCAGAGTTAGTAAATCTAAATAAAGTGATTAACATAAAAGAATGAATATTTGCAACAATCTTTTCATCAGTAGATATTAATCTTATACAAGAACAAAAGTGACATTTATATTAATAAAAATATTAAAAATTTTAAAGTATTCTGACCATAAAATATTTTAATATTGAATTTAAGACCTTGCTATATTATGAGGAAGTTATTTTAGAATTGGAAAAAACTTCTATACGAAGAAATTGAAAAGATTTATAAAAAAATAAGTTAATGGAAAATTCCAAAATGTATATATATAATCATAGCTTATTATATGTTGAAGAGCACAGGGAATAAGGAAAAAGATTTTTGTTAGTTATATATAGTATATATAAATATTAAAAAAATTAACATTAAAATATTTTATTTTAAAATTTTGTTAATCTCTCTGAACTTTGTACATATTCAGATATATTATAATATTAGTCTGTCAATCTATACATAGAACTATAAGTAATGTTATTGTGTATTATATATCAGTAGATATTTCTGGCATCAAGTTAATTACATAAAATTGTAAAAACTGACATAACTAAAAGAATGTCAACACAAATTAATATGAACAACAAGACTCAAAAACAACAATAAGCTTGTTTTTAGTATTACCCCCAAAGACTGACTCATTAAAACTATACTTTAATTTCATTCTAATTCATCCTCTTAAAAATTTTTATGATATTTCCAATATAAAATCTATTCATTTTAAAAATTGTCTATAATAAACTTTTGAATTTTTTGAACATTTCCTGTTGACAATCATTTATTTTGACAGTGCTTTTGGACTAATTTTATGCATGAAAAAGATCAAAATTACTAGCTTTTAAAATAAAAAATAAATGTATTGAATAGTGTGTTTTTTCTTTAAAGTGGTGTTTTTGAAAATACAACTAATACAGTTTATTTATTTATTTATAAACCTGTCATGTATATTAAAATCCACATAACCAAATGTACCATTATACTGTTGTATCAATATTTAATAAAACAATAAAAATATTTTTAAATTAGAAGATAATAATAAAGTATTATTATTTACCTTTTGTCATAACATGATTTTAATTCAGATGCAAAGACACAGAATTCTCCAAATGTGAGATATTCACCATTTTGACGGTTTGAACATTCACTAGCACACTGCAACATTTCATGCACTAATAGAAAATTTTTTAATGCAAAATATTATATATATATTGCATTATATTGAATATTAATACTTTACATACTGCATCATTATTATTTTTAAAAAATATTTCTGTTATAAATAAATTAATTTGTAATTCCACAACATTCATAAATACTAAATAAATTTATTAAATGTATTATTTATTTAATATTTAT